TGTGTGTACCTGTGTATATACCTGTGTGTGTGTACCTGTGTATATACCTGTCTGTGTGTGTACCTGTGTATATACCTGTGTGTGTGTGTGTGTGTGTGTGCACCTGTGTGTTTGTGTTTAGCATCACTGGACCTCTTGTTGGCTCCCTCCCTGTCTGCCAGCACCCTTCCTGATCCTCAGATCTGCCTCTTTGCTTTTTAGCTCTTTCTCTCCTCACATCATCAGATCTACTGCCTGCAAGAATTTGCCTGTGTCCTTTATTGAGTGACAAGAAGTATTTCCCCTATTAGGATATTTTACCCCTGAAACAAGAGCAATGATAACAAGAACCAACGTTTTTTTGAACACCTGTAGTAGGAAGACCACACTCCACACTTGCAAATTTTCTCTGTGAAACCCCAAATCAACCTTTATGGCCCTTGGAGCAAGAAGGGACCTGTAGCTCCACGAGGTGTGGTAACCTGCCATGGTCACACAGTGAGAAAGAGGCAGGCTTGGCATTCGGACCCAGATCTAGAGGACAGAGATGATCCCTAATCAGCACTGCAGCCATGGAGTGAATTAATTAGTGGACCTCAGCTGTGCTGAAGTTTTCCTTGGTCCCTTAGTCTTAGGAATAGTTCCTGTTAAACTAGATAGCAGGGAAGAGTTGGGTACAATGGTATACAAATTATGCTGAGAATCAGCTGCAGAGAGCCTGCACTGAGGAGTCAGGAGAGCACCGCTGATGCCATTTACCAGCCGTCTGGCTCCAAGATGAAGTCCATACTCCCTGAGCCTCAGTTTCTCCACCTGGCAGTGGGGCTTTTGCTTCCTGCTTTGACAGACTATTATTATGAAGGTGACAAGTAAAGTGATAAGTATGATATGGCTTTGCAATAAAGAAAGGCAAGGTAGAAATATAAGGGATGGGTATGTTATTCATTATTAAATCCGCTAATGATACAAACCACTATTGATTGATTTTATGATTACATTATGATAAACCAGCTTGCTGTAGGCTCTGAGTAGAGGTGATATAGTAACTGATGGTCAGAGAAATCTAAAGACATGACATGCATTTTTCTATATGCCAGTGCTTTATTTATTTATTTATTTTGAGACAGAGCCTCAAGCTGTCTCCCTGGGTAGAGTTCCATGGCATCATAGCTCACAGCAACCTCCAACTCCTGGGCTTAAGCAATTCTCTTGCCTCAGCCTCCTAAGGAGGTGGGACTACAGGTGCCGCCACAACGCCCAGCTATTTTTTGATTGTAGTTGTCGTTGTTGTTTGGCAGGCCTGGGCTGTATTCGAACCAGCCAGCTCTGGTCTATGTGGCTGGAGGCTTAGCCACTTGAGCTATAAGCGCCGTGCCATATGCCAGTGATTTAATATGGGAGACTGGGTGGGGATGCTGCTTAAATTAAGAAAGAAAATCACACAGAAAGAGCTGATTTGCCAGACAGTTATACAAGAGCTATTGGAACATGGGGCTAACCAGCAATAAAAGAGTAACCAGCAGTGGAGGCATTAAGAGTGACTCTAGGCTTGGCACCTGTGGCTCAAGTGGCTAAGGCGCCAGCCACATACACCTAAGGTGGCGGGTTTGAATCCCCAGCCC